ACGAAAACAAATTCCTCGTATGTGTAAACATACCTGGCAATAAAGCTCATTCTGATTCTGATTCTGATTTCATCTAGTTCTTTTAAAGCAGTTCTTTCTGTGTTTCCGCTCACATATTTTTAAATCAAAAGTTGAGGACTTGCAACTCGACTTGGACTTGTCTGTCTTGACTCGGGACTTGACTTGGGACTTGCAAAACAATGACTTGGTCCCACCTCTGCAAATTAATTAAATCTATTTGTTCTTTAGCCTACTTCAAAAAGACACTGGGTGTCATTCACTAATAATTGTGTAGATAATTCGTATTTATTCGCACACTCGACCTTCTCACGAGAACTGTGCTCCTAGTTCACAGCACATTTACAGTATTTGTTCATAAGCTCGTCCTAATGTTAGTGAATCTGGAGTCTCTCAATCAGTCTCTAAAGCCCCCCTAGGTCCAATGAGGACTGTTATTATATTTACAGTCATTAGGAAGTGACAGACCATTTTCTTTTGCAAGTTTCAGCTCATACATCTTTGGTGTAAACTCGCCTTAACCAAACGCCCCCCCAAGAACACCTCAGTGCCCCCGATGCTCTCCGAACGCCCCCATTGAGAAACACTACTCTATTGACAAGCTATAGTCTAACATAGCTTTTCTTACTCTTTCACTGTCTATGATTAAATAATTTTAAGATGAAATGTACATTTTTTGTAATTATTTATAATATATAACTATTATCCTAAGATGAAACACACACAAACATTGTTTGTTCGTGAAAACGTCTGTACGCAGGGCTGTATTAACCATTGGGCTAGGCGGGGCTGAAGCCCCGGGGCCCGAGCAAGGAGGGGGCCCGTGGTTGGCTGTGGAGTAGATTGACTGGCGCGCCGACCGCCAAAGCCACCATGCCCCCATGAAAAAATGCCCGTCTTTGAGAGTGTCCTTGTAAACACAGTCATTTGTGTCTTAAATGAACGTTAATAGTTAAAGATAAAGCATGTGTAGAGTTAGGCTATATGAGATCCTGGATTATATGATGAGATCTTAAAAGGATAGTTCGCCCAAAAATGAAGATACTGTCATCATATACTTACCCTCAAATTGTTCTAAACCTCTATGAATTTATTTGTTCTCCTCAACATAAAAGAAGATATTCTGAAAAATGATCATAACCAGTTTCTGGTCCCCACTGACTCCAATAGTGTATTTTTTTCATATATGGAAGTCATGTGGGTCAGATTACCAGTATTGTTTCAAATATATTATTTTGTGTTCAACAGCAGAAGGAATCTCATACAGGTTTACATCATCAACAGAATTTGATATATTTTTGGGAGAACTATTCCTCTAAAGCAGCCTAATATAGCTGATGTTGCCATTTGTGTCAATGTAAATCAAACATCAGAAAGAAAATCACTTTTGTAAAATAAATAATGAATGTATATTGAATATATACAGTGAAGACTATTCAGTCTATTTGTACATTTTCTTTATACAATATAATATTTATTATTCAGTTCTTTAAGTTTTTCAAGTAGGTCGACTTTTTTATGATCTTTGTTCTGTTGTAGCCTAATTTGTGACTGTTTACTTCGAATTGTTGAATAAAGTTGTTGTTTTTGTTTTCTTTGCGCACAAAACGTATTCTTGTAGCTTCGTAATATTACGGTTGAACCCCTGATGTCACATGGATTATTTTACCGATCTCCTTGCTACGTTTCTGGACCTTGATCGTGGTAATTACATTGCTGTCTATGGGAGGGTCAGAGAGCTCTCGAGATGCATCAAAAATATCTTAATTTGTGTTCTGAAGATGAACGGAGGTCTTACAGGTTTAGAACGACATGAGGGTGAGTAATTAATGACAGAATTTTCATTTTTGGGTGAACTATCCCTTTAATGCGGCCCTGTCCGTCCGTATGCATGCTTAGTGAATCAGACCCATTGTCACAGTTCATTATGGAAGGCCATCTGGATTTCACCAAGCACATATTTATTGCCAGACAACTTGAAGGAAGTAACCTTTAAAATTTGACACAGATACTACTCCGTAAATCATGTTCTTGTTAAATTTAGAAAGGATATTGGTTTAAGCTGTTCTTTGTGTAATAGGGTGAATGAAACTTTCAGTTTTTGGCACTGCTCTCATGGAAGGAAATTCTGGAAAGATTTGTGTAGATTTATCATTCATAATATATTGACCACACTTTTTCTTTGTGCTTAGAGATTGGCATGTTTGGATTTACTAATATTACCGCAGATAAAAGTATACTCTGCCCAACATTATAAAATTACATTTTTCCATTCTTTCTCAACTGATTGTTCACTTAATGAAAACTCAACAAGACAAGTATTTTAACACCATTGTGTGCATCGGGTTCTCCTGTTTATTTGCAACATTTATATTAACAATAATAAGAAATTCCTGCTGATGGTAGGCACGCTGCATTGTCATGGTAAATGCCTATTATTATTATTATTATTATTATTATTATATAACAGAGGCAGAATAGAGGAGCTAAACGAGGCATGAAGCATCAACTGCAAAAATGACTACACACATCTGGAGATGATTTTAAGCAAAATGGTTGAAAACCCATAAATAAAATGGGTTGTAATGTGGCATAATAATTTTTTTTCTGACCAATAGGTGGCGCTGTTACCAAATTGATGATTTAATGATCGGCGCAAGTGTTTTTTTGCTAGTATCAGCCCGACACAGTTATCATTTCCCCGTCCTGCACCATGTTGTTTAAATAGCAAATGCATTTGCGCTCATGGGCGTGCTGGTCTGAAAACCTGGCGCGTTGCTATTTTGAGGCATCTTTTTTGTTATTTAAAGAGTGCGTTAGTAATATGCGCCTATAGGCGGGTCCACAGCGAGTGTACACTCTGCTTATTACACACACAGGGATGCGCAGCAGCACAAAAACATGCCAAATACTACAAACTAAAGGATTACAATGTAAAACATTATTGTTGTGTAGGCTGCATAAAGATAAAAATGCCTACATGTCATAATGGATAGTCATTGCATGTCTCAGAATTAGGCTACCTATTTGCTTGTGCACGAGCAGCTCTGTTTCCTCTCTGGAGACGCGTTCTGTCTTTGCGCTTGCAAATTCCGCCGTGTAAATAGCGAATCCACCATGGCACCGAGCGCAACTGTCTCTTAAAGGGAATGGGAGATGAGACTGATTGGTTTATTGCACGTTACGCACAAAACACACCCATTACTCATTAAGAGAATAGGGACAACCCTTTCAGACCATGCGCTGGGCACGCAGACCGCTTTTCCCGTCGTTAAACTAGCAAAAGTGGATTCGGACAGACCCTGAGTGCACCTGCGCCGTGCATTTTAGACCAAGCGCTTAGATCGTTAAAATAGGGCCCATAAAGTTTGGTGTCAGAATGCCAAAGCTTTGCAGAGACTCAGACAGAGTTTGTCAATTCACTGATGCAGTAAATAAAGACTGAAATCAAAACTTTTTTCCAAATTTCAAAAGTGAAATTTGGAGAAAATCAGACCAATGGTATGGGAGGAGTTCGAAAAAGTAGGTTTTTAGAAAAATGTAAAAGTGGCAGGAAAAATTTCATGATGGAAAACTAACGATCACAGTAGGTGCATGACCTTTAACAAAAGTGTTGTTTTACTTATTTACGTTTGATCAAGTTTAAAAAAAAAAAATAAAAATAATTTCTCAGAACATGGCATAACGGGGCCAGGGCTGCCGTACCACACCGAAGCACTTCTGGAGAAGATGGGCATTTTGTAAGTGTTACTTCATTACAGTAATTAATAAAAACCAAGAAGCAGAAATTCTCTGAACACAGTGTATTTCCCAGTGTATGTTTGCAGTTGAGCTGTAATGGCACTAACTCTGCATCTGCTCGCTCAGGCCTCTGGGGTCACGCCTGCAGATCCTGCACTGCCTTCAGAAGCTCTGGCAGGTCTCAGATGAGTCAATGAAGGTACGGCGACGCTGTGAAAGCTCATGTGTCTCTAATGCTGGCGGCAGACCTCCCAGAGCTGGTGTGTTTGTGTGCAGGTGTTGAACGACCCCATCCACGGCCACATCGAGCTGCACCCCCTGCTGCTGCGCTTCATAGACACGCCTCAGTTCCAGGAGCTGCGCCACATCAAGCAGCTGGGAGGAGCCTACCTGGTGTTCCCAGGTGCATCCCACAACCGCTTCGAGCACTCCATCGGGTGCGTGCGCATGCGCCAGGACACAGAGACTTACACAGCGCCTGCACACAGAATCACATACGGCACAGGATACAAAGGCTTACACTGCGCCTGCACACAGAATCACATAAGGCACAGGATAGAGAGGCTTACACTGCGCCTGCACACAGAATCACATACGGCACAGGACACAGAGGCTTACACTGTGCCTGCACTTATAATCACATACGGCACAGGATACAAAGGCTTACACTGCGCCTGCAC